TGTTCCGATTTATTACCAAGGATTGCCAGAAAAGACGAGTGGGGGTCGACAGCAATTGCTTTATCAGCACTCTTGCCGGTCGCTGGGTTTACGACCACAACACGAGCGCCATTTGAAACGTGCTGCGCAAACAGGTGTGTGTGTTGTCCATTGCCATGGCTGTGCATGTGTAGAAGCATAACCTGCCAAAAAGATGCATTTTTAGCAAAGCATACGATCCTCGCAACACACCAAGTCAGTGTAAGACGTCGAGCTGGATGGTCGTCCGGGAATGGCAGTCCCAGCCCCGCAGACGTTTTGCTTGTTATCCGGTTCCGAAAAGTCCGGCTCCAGGCGTGAAATTCGGAGGAGGGAGATTACATCAGTGGTTTTTTTATTTAAATACATGTGGGGTTTAATTAGACAGACAAACAATTCGTTGCTTATAGGACCATTACAAGACCACCTTGGCAAACGCTTTGTTTCTGGGGCGAGTCGGAAAAGCGGTTTTTCAGAATGGGACTATGGGTTTCAGATGAGGAGAAAAGATTCTTGGCTTCAAATTTGGTGCACAAAGGACTGTCGTCTAATGCTTTAAATATGATTACAGGTGATGCGACGGAGTGCATTGTGGGCTACGAGACGTATGAAGAATTTATTGAAGTGGTGAAAATACTTGCGAAAGAAAAGGGTTATTTGTAGCAAGTTCGGACAATCATCAACAGAGTTTAATCTCTGGCTAGTTTCTGCCTCCATTGATGGGGGTTCAATCGAATTTTCTCACAGAAACTCCTATCCGTCCTTCACGGAAAGATTACTTATTTGGGAACAAAAATCTCAAATACGCCTTGAGGATCATGCAAACTGAATTCTTCTCCTGGACAACATCCACGGGGAATTTTGTCTTCTTGAACCTTTTTCCTTGAGACAGCTAAATATTTTAGCCAAAGACATTTTTAAAACACATCCTCTTTCAAGTTACTTGAAATGCATTCTATCCGGACAAAATATCAACTCTTGCTGCATGTTGCTATGGTGGGACATCCCAATATTTGTAAAACA